CTTAAATTCTGCTTCCTACTTGAATACAGTTAGGTACTAGAAGTTCCTGGCTTTCTATCTTCCCACATCCAACTCTCTCTCATGTTGAACTTCAGCTCCTGAAGTAACCGTTTCTTAGGCTTTCTAGTTAGACACATGGTACAGGTCACACCACCTGCTGGAGTGTGAATGGTCTTTGTTTAGGCTGCAAAAGCACTTTTGCATTAAGATTGAGGTTTAGAAGGCAATTTCCTCACTAGTTAGAGTCCATTTCTACTGTGCAGAGTTCTCTAGTAATTTGTTTTTCTCTTTCCTCCGAAACCACATACTTGAGAGCGAGCAGACAGAAATAGGCCAAATTCTGTTAGAAAATACAGCGTTCTTCTTGCTTTACCCTTGATCAACTTCTGATTTCTAATTTCTCCATGTGTAGAATAAGAATAATAATTCATGAATTTTAGCTGTGACGGATTATAGCTATTCAAGAGGCTAGGACAGGAGGTCCTCCAGTTTGAGGCCAGCCTAGGCAACATAATGGGGCCTTCCCGATCTTCCCTATCTCAATAAAAAAGGTTTGTTTTGTTTTTTGGTACCAGGGATCGAACTCGGGTCCTTGTGCTTGTGCAGCAGGCAGCGAAACCACTGAGCTAAATCCCTGGCCCAAGGACCCAAGTTTGATCCCCGGTACCCAAAAAAAAAAATTATGTCTTGAATTCTGATTCAGACTATTATAATAATATAAGGGATACAAAAGGCTTGAGAAACTGTAAAATGGTTTTTGGAAGTAAGACAGTATTATTATTCTCATTTCCTTATGCAGGCTGGGCAAGGTTTAGAGGGGACTTAGTGTGCTACATTTGTTTATTTACTTTGTAAGGGGTAGTACCTGGTGTGGCTGCCAAGTCGGCAATATCCTGGAGTGGACCTCCACGGTCTTATCCTCTACAAAGGTACAGCACCGTAAGCCAAACCATCCACTTGCTAACTCTCAGTTCCTCCTAGCCATGGTTGCTATATCCTGATAATATGGGTCTGGGAATCTTTGTTCCCTACTATCTACTCCATTGGTAATGCCAAGAAAGAATTTTGGTTTAATCTTCTTTCAGAACTTTGACGCATCTGCTGTATTTACTTGGCCAGGCTGTAAGAACATCCTAGGAGCTCTCTGAGACGAGAGAAAAATATTCCTAGCAGGTTAGGAGTGTAGCTCAGCAGCAGAGCACATGCCTAGCTGTCCAAGCCCCAGGTATGATCCCTAACATGGGGGAAAAGACATTTCAAGTTACTACTTAGTACCTATATCAGGCACTATACTTAGAATTTACTTAATTCTCTTAGCATCCTTTGAAAGTGGTACATATTATTTCCAGTTTACTGAAAACTGAGGTTCAAAAAGTGGACCCTTACTTCCTCACAATAGTGATTTAAGTGGCAGAGCTGGAATTTGAATTAGAATTCTGTCTTATCCCAGACTTGTTCTGATCATCATACCATGAGGCCTCTCATCGCTATGGAAGAGGGGCCCTGTGCTACATAAGGTAACTCAGGAGATTCCCATTCACAGCATCTGCATGCAAGTCCCAACTCTGCCTGTGTGATCTGGGACAAGTCACCTCCAAATTCTCCCAGCCATGGATTTGTCTCATTAGATCACCATGGCCTGTGACATAGGTGCTATACTTACCTGTTTTCCATTTGAGGAGCCTAGGCCTCAGTCAGGTAAGATGACTTGCTAAGGTCACAGAATAGTGAATACTAAACATAACTCAAATTTATGTCAGATATCTGGTTCATTGTTCCTTCCACTCTCTCACACTGCTTCTAACACCTGATGTAGTACCCAGGCAAACAAAGTTCCCATTCACGATGCTGGCTGGAGGCCTGTGGAACAGGAGCCTCACCTTCTTCTGTGCTTTCCTTTTCGCCTCCAGTAGTCTCTCCTCCTTTACAAAGCTTACTGAAGTAATATACAGTGTTTCAAAATCAAGGAAAAGACTTGTGCAATGCTTAAAAACTGCCTATTTTCAAAAAAAAAGAGAGAGAGAGAGAAACCAAAAATGCCGCCTGCCTCGCAAGCATAGGGTCCTGAGTTCGATCCCCAGTATCAAAAAAAAACCCACTAAAAAACACTGCCTAGATTACCTGGTAGAAGCCTAGGAAACTGTCCCGTCCTTTATATGGATTTGTACTATATTACTCTAGCAACATGGTGTAGGGGGTCTAGTTTGGGAAAAGTTCTTTCTTAGCTCTGTTCTTTATCAATATACTCTTGTAAGCTTGTTGTGAAAGTGAGATAAATATTGAAGGATAGCAAGTAGGGGCTCATTAATTTATGGTGATTTTCCCTGGCAACAGGGTCTAACAGAAACCAAACTGGGAGTCACAAGTCCTAAATTTTTGTTTTTTGAGACAGGGTCTTGCTTTGTAGTTCAGGTTGGCCTCGAACTCACTATGTAGTCCAGGGTGGCTTTGATCTCATAGAGATCCTCCTGCCTGAGCCTCCCAAGTGCTGAGATTACAGGCATGAGCCACCACACTTGGTTTGTTTTTTCTTTTTTAACTGCGGATAAAAGCTGGATGTGGTGGCGCATACCTAGAATCCCAGCACTCTGGATGCTCAGACAGGAAGATTGCTGAGAGGTCAAGGCCACCCTGAACTGCATAGCTAGACCCTACCTCAAAAAACAAAAAACTGGGGGGGGGGGGGCGGGGTGGTGGTGCAGGGATTTAGCTCAGTGGTTCCTCCACCTGCCTCACAAGTACAAGGACCCAAGTTCAATCCCTAGTATTCAAAAAAAAAAAACCCAAGAATAGTTTCTTGGGCTGGGGATTTAGCTCAGTGGTTCTGCCGCCTGCCTCACAAGCAAAAGATCCTGAGTTCAATCCCCAGTACCAAAAAAAAACCCCAAAAAACTGGGGATTGAACCCAGAGTCTTTGCACTGAACTACATCCCCATCCCTTTATTATTTTTTTTTTCTTTTTTTTGGGGGGGGTACTGGGGATCAAACTCGGAACTTTGTGCTTTCGAGGCAGGCAGTGGAACCACTGAGCTAAATCCCCGGTCCAAGTGATTTTTTTTTGTACTGGGGATTGAACTCGGGACCTTGCACTTGCAAGGCAGGCAGGGGAACCGCTTAGCTAAATCCCTGGCCCTACATCCCTGTCCCTTTAACACCTCCCCACAGAGGTCTTGCTAAGTCATTAAGTTGCCCAGCTGGACTTGAACTTTTGACTCTCCTGCCTCTGTCTTCTAGAGGGCTGGGATAATAGGAATGCACCTTGCACCCAGACTGTGTAATTTTTAAAAATCAAATATTTACACACAATGTTGAATTTTAAAATTTTCTTTTCAGGAAAAGAAGAAAAAGAAACATAGAGATAAGAAGTCATCTGACTCTGACAGCTCAGACTCTGAGAGTGATACTGGCAAAAGGGCAAGGCACACATCAAAAGACAGCAAGGCAGCAAAGAAGAAGAAAAAGAAAAAGAAGCATAAGAAGAAACACAAGGAGTGAGAGTAGAAGAGAGTGGGGGTGGGGGTGGGTGAGGGAATATGGATCCAGGAGCTTTGTACATTGAAGCCCTGGGCCCTGGAGAGACTCAGTAGTGAGAATATGGCCTCCCACCCCCAATGACTTCACTCCTGTGGGAGATGGTTTCCCCTCATGCAGCAGGCAAGTTTGGGAGTTGAGGTCAAAAGGAGCTGCCTGAATGAGTTGTTTCTTTATTGCATCTGACCCCTTTGCAAGTGACCCCTGCAGCCCACCCATTCATTCACCCGGCTTCCTTCACTCAGCAGGTGGTCCTTTTACCCAGCTGCCACTGCCAGAGCTGGATTCCTTTGCAGGGATCTGGGCTAAAGCCACAGGAACTGCTGTGGAGCTGAGCTCGGCTGTAGTTGGAGGAGTGACTGCCCCTTCCTATTGGACTGTCTTGAGCCAGTTGGCTCATGGTCTCTGCTGCACCCACACAAGAGCAGAGGGAAAGTGGCAGTAGGAGGGAGAATGTGGTAAGAAGTGGTGCTCACTTTTTACATTCCCTCAACATGGTTCTACTGTGCTAAAAGTGACATCCAGTGGCCACAGTCAGAAAACGATCATTTGCAGTGTGATTCATTTTGTGTATGACATTCCACCGGACACTGAACCACACATCTAAGGCCAAGATCATTGCTGTACTTTCTGTGTATTACTGTGAGAGTCTACTGGTTCTACTTCATCTCTGCTTAAATCCCTGGCACTAAATGGACTTGTGTTTTGTTTTAAACTTACTGAAAGTTCTTATTCCTATAATTCTTATTCGTGGGTAACTTATAGACGTCAAGTCACTGAGACTGCATTAGTTGACAGAGAATTTTCTTTTTCTTGAGAGAGTGTCTCACTGTGTAGCTCAAGCTGGCCATGAACTCAGGCGATCCTCCTAACTCAACTACCCCAGTGCTAGGCCAGAAAAGCATTTAATATGTTATCTTAGACCTTGGAGAGAGGCCCAGCTGAGGTATAGGCAGGTCACAGGCAGCTACGGCACTAGGTTTCTTGGGAGATCACTTGTAAGCCTCCCTTCTGTAATGATCAGAGAGCCTCTTTCCCCAGAGTTGGTTAGAGAATCACTCAAAATCCGTAACCTTGAGTACCACCCTGGTGCGTAGGTGGCAGTTTAGTAGTCATGTTAGTCAGTGATCGTCTTCTCCCACCACAGTGGCACAAGCCTAGATGCTGTGTCCCGAGCCTGTGCCCTGGAAAGCATTCCAGAGAACCAGACCCAAGGGTGTTCAGTGCAGGACAGGCCTGGAGAAGCCCCACACTGACCAGACTAGCTCATTTGACCATGGCAGCGGGCAGGAGAAGGGCAAGGTATAGGGGCAGTTGTTTCGTCAATAAATGTGTAAGTTGACCAGCTGACTAACAGTCCTTGAGACTATTCATCTGCCCCTCATCTAGTGCTTCTTCCTGAGTGACCTTCAGGAAGTCATTTCTGCTCACTGACTCACTCGGGAAACAAGACTCCCTTCACCATGTTATCAGAGGCAAAAAGGCAACTCGTGGCCTTTGCTCTGCTTTATTGACCTCAGAGCACCTTTTGGATACATTTTTAAAAAAAACAAAAAAACCCAGACCACATGCATTAATAGAAACTGGAACAGGATCCAGGCTGGTACCACTTGACCCCCCAAAGAATTTCCCAACCAAAGTGGAGTTATACAAAATGCCAGAAGAAAAAAAGTGAGGCAATGTGGTGCAGTTGAGGGGTAGTCATTTGACAGAGGAGTAGTCACTGACAGCGCTGGCAGCTCAGGTCATGCCTCCTTCTCGTAAGTGCGAACGCAGACTGCACTGCCATGGGTGAGTGTCTGGAAGGAAAGACAGAGTCAGATGGGGCGGAGGGAAGCAGAAAGCAAGAGCACCTTGCACTCCCTTATCTTGATGATCATCACTTGAGTACCTACTATGTGCCAGGCACTTTACATATTTTTTTCCTGATGCATAGGACAAGCCTTTAAGATAGGCAGTATAATCTGTTTTAGAGATTTGGAAAAATGAGCTTTGAAAGAGGAAGTAATTTCATCAAGATCCTAGAATGTTTCTGGTTCCCTTGCACCATTCAGCTTCCTTCAAATTCTTAGTGCTTAAAACAGTGCCTGGTACATAGTAGACAAATGATGAATAAAAATTTCCAGAGACTCTTGAGAAATGACTGTGCTAATCTACCAACTCCCATTCTATCCCTAACTTTGGGGAGTTTGAGGGCCAGATCCCTGAACCCCCACTATTTATTTAGTCTGGCATTACAGAGGCAAGCCCATGGCCTCACCATTGTCTGACTGTCCAGTGAGTACCTGGTCCTGCATATCACATCCTCGCCAAAGCTAGGCACCTCATTCCTAGTGGGATGTGAGTGCAAGAATGTGGCAGGCCGGTTACAGTGGCTCAGGAAGTTCTGCAGAGAACAGGCACAGAGGCAGCAGGCAGCACCAGTGGCTGCTGTCTGTGCCCCTGGCTCTGGGGAGGTTCAGTCAAGGACACCATTCTCCAAGTGAAGTCCCTAAATAGATCTGGTGACCTCATTGTGTGACTTCCTACCCAGATGATAGGTTCTTGTAGGAGGCTGGCTATAGAATGTACTGAGAGGCAGGACTGGGACAAGGGAGAGAGGACTGTGCTGCAGGTCACCACCCGTCACCAGCCTGTCACCCCTCATGTGACAGTCCAGTCCTAGAGAGGATAGGGAAGGAAATGCTGTGATGGGAGATGGGAACCTCTCCTAGAGAGCTTGGGATCAGATTGGCCCTGCTTTCTACCTCTTCCTGGAGGAAGCAAGGTAGAAACAAGGAAGCTAAGGCCATGGAACATCTGCTGTATTTCTCCCATTTGCATGTGTTTTCTGCCATGCACACACTCTCTCTCTCTCAGACTTGCCTTCAGCACTGTAAGGTTGGTGTGCTTTTTATGTTTTGTTTTTGTTTTTGTTTTAGTACCAAGGATCAAACTCAGAACCTTGTGAGGCACTACTGAGCTAAAAATCCCAGCCCATTGGTGTTATAGATACACATTTTACAGTTGCACTTGGAGAAGGTGACTTGCCCAAAGCAATGCAGTCTTTCGGGTGAAATTTGAACCCAGACCTGTGTGACTCCAAAGCCAGGACCCTGTCTCTGTCTCTCTTGTACCAGGTCCTGTGGCACCCAGAGGGGGGCATAGATTTTAAAACAGGCCTGGCTGAGGAGGCAGTAGTAGTAACCAGTTAGGTGAGGCTCCAGAGTTGTCCCTCTTACCAGGATGAGTTTCCCATCAATTAGCTCCCGAACAAGTGTTGTCTCTTGCCCGTCCCATTTCTGCACATGGACAAGTTTTCCTCCATCCAGCGTCACAAGGGACTGTGGACAGAGGACAGACACCTAAGCAGTGATCTGAGCCAGGACTGAGGCAGGATGGGATTAGGAAACAAGCTCTGATTCAAACTAGTGATGGTGCTGGGACCAAAGCTCAGGCTGCCCACTTCCAAGCTTGCCCTGTAGGCTGTCCAGTTCACCTTCAGCCTCTGCTCCATAGCTGCATGGCAGGGGGATGAGCCTTCAGGTAGGGAGAGGCACAGCCAAACGGCTCGGCTCAGAAGTGCCCAGGACTCCAAGAAGGGCACTTAGCTGAGAGGGTAGCTCAGTGGTAGAGTGCATACTTCACATATGTGAGGCCCTGCTTTAATTCCTCAACACAAAACAAAGCCAAACACAAAGCGGGCTCTTACCCTACACTCTAGGAGATGCCCATAGCCACAGTCCCCCTCAGGTATAGGGGGAATATACCTATCTGTATCCTTAAAAAAGACTGACTGAGGAGGAGGTATCTTATGGCCATCACTTGGTTCAGATGCCCATTTAGTCCTCTGGGTGCTCGCAACCTGCATGAGCTGGTTCTCATTTGGCAGCCCTCTCAGGTCTCCCCTGTAGGAATTTGGGGGGTATAGGCCAGACTAAGGAACTTAGACTGACCAGAGCTCAATTGGAGGCTGGGAAAGTTGTGCTTCTGTGTTAGGGTTGCTTGGCTCTTGGCCTGCTGTCTGTATAACACTTTACTCCTTATTCCTCCGGTTTTTTGCCTTCTCGGCAGATTATTTTTGGCCTAGACATCCCAGAGGACTATCATTGTGTTTAACTGGGGTTCTTGCCCCTCAAGAAGGTGGCAGGTTCATAGGAGGATGTGTTGGGCAGCCACCCTCATCCAAAGTGGGCTGCCATCTTTGGACACCACCCGCTACTTTGCTGCCAGCCTTCTGATCCTGGGCTGGGCTTCAGCTCCTCTTCCTCTGCAAGGAAACCAGCCCCTACCCTGTTCTTCCTGTGGGCAGCTGTGAGGAAGAGGAAACAGCTGAAGAGCTGGTTGTGGTAGAGGGGATACTGCTGTAGGGACACCCTGTAGAAGTCAAAGCCCCGTTCTGTCCCTTGCTGAGAGACCTGAGGCAAGCTGCTAAGACAGCCAGCGTGGGGTGAGCGCTCAGCACGCTGAGGGAAGCTTGCTGGGAAGATACTGTAAACGCCCATAACAGTGTGAATGCCCCATGCCAGTACATAGCTTTTCCTGCCTGTCAGTTGGCAGCATTGGAAACTGTTCATCAGGGGCACTACCAAGTCTGGGAATTGCAGGTTGCAGAAGTTGAGGCATTTGTTGAGGTCTCAGCCTCTTGTTCACAGCAAAGGAGGAGTCCTTCTTGCTAGAGGCCTGGATGGCCTCACTCAGTGTGGGGTCCTGACATCTGGGCTTCGCTCCTAAAACACTTCAGGTTACACAGCCACGGCCACTTCCTGCCTCCATCCGAGGAAAGAAATTCATTGCATACTTTATATAAAGTCACCCCACTGGGGCTGGAGCAGACACAGGTTAGAACATCCTGGCTCTGTGCTGCCCATTCCCAGATGCAGCCAGTTAGATGCTTCCCAAGAAGGAAGGAAGAAACAAGAGGACAAAACTAACGTGGATTTGGCCCCTGGAACACTCCAGCACTGAACAGGCTTTATGAACCTTGTTTCACTTAAGTCCTCCTGCCTTTAAGATGCAATGACAAGGGACCAAGACTACCAGCTTCTGTCCTGTCAGGGTCTCAGCACCCTCTGTCCCCCATTCCCACTTCTCTGACTCACCTTGACCTTCCTGTCATCAGCCGTCGTCTCATCAAACTCCACCCCCAGCTGAAAGCTGACCTCCGTATTCTTGAAGGTGCTGTGTGTTTTTATGACAATAGTGTCACCATTCTTTTCGATGACTGTGGTAGGCTTGGTCATGCAGGCCACCTGTCTGGTAGCAAAGCCCACACCTGAGGGCCAGAGGAAGGTTATGAGTAGAAGCTAGAACAGAGAGGCTCTGAACAAGCTGAAGGAGTAACTCAGGCCCTGGTGTGGGGCCTAAGAAGAAAGAGGATCCTAACTTTGAAAGCCTTGGTGTGGCTTTTTTTTTTTTCTTTTTTTTTTGAGACAGAGTCACGCTGTGTAGTCCAGGCTGGTCTTGAATTCACTATGTAGTCCAGGTTGGTGTTGAACTCATGGGAATCTTCCTGCCTCAACCTCCCAAGTACTGGGATTACAGGGATGTACCACCATGTGCCTATTTTTAAATTAAGTCTTCCCCTTAGCTCTGTGCACTGAACAATCAATCCCAATACAGATGAAAAATGTAAAAAACATGCATGCCAGAGAAAAGTAGCAAGAGCTGAAATCAGGATAAGGTACTAAGACTTTGTGCATGGTGAGGAACTGTACACATTATCTCATTCAGTCCCCCCTTTCCCCTTGAAGGGCTGATATGGTTATCTCCCCTTTACTGAAGTAAATACTGAGTTTAGGGCCCTGGAGACAGATCTAAGATTGAAGCCCCAAGTAATTTGATTCCAGAGCTCTTGCAACTTCTCAGCCCCAGGGCCTCCCAAGGTAGAGCAACAAGCTGCCTTCCAGGAAAGCCTAGAGGTAGTGAGAGTTGTGACTCCTAAGGCCCTATGACTTTCCTGACCCAAGCATGACTCCCCTGGGTGCTTGGCAGAGTCCTAAGTGTCCTATGAGAAGGTGGTATAGACCACAGAACTCAGGGTAAGCCTTCATCCCTTCAGGCTATAACTTCCCTGGGATCTGTCCTTTTGCTACCAGTCTCCATCATGACTGGCCTGTCTCTCTGCCCCCAGCAGCTTTGCTGTACTGTCCTCCAAGGCAGAGGTCAGGCAGGAGGCAGCTATGTGGTGAAGTGGTGTGTGCCAGGTTTCCAAAGGTGTCTGGCTACATAGTGCTTGCTGGAAGCTAGGTACATTACAAGTGCTCTAAATGGGCTGTTCTAATGCTTAGCCCTAAGGGTGGGTTTCTTATTATCTCCCATTGACAAATGAGACTGAGCGGTGTCTTACCCCAAAGTCAAAGAGTGATTGACCTAAATTCCCAAGTTATTCACTGTTCCCATTGTGCCATTCTACCCAGCACGTATTCAGCACCAAGGCCACCATTTGTGTCTGTGGTCTGTTGGAGGACCCTTGGTCTAAAGCAAGAGGGGCAAGGGCTTCAGCTGCAGCTGCAATGATGCCAGCCTACCCTGCCTGGCCAGTGGAGACTTGGCTTTGCCCCCTGGTGTCAACTGTGTCAGACCAGTCACACACATCAGGACAAATCAGGGCCTGGTCACTACAGCAGGAGCTGTTTGCTTAGGACTTACCCAGTGTGTGAATCTGAGGAAGGAAACCACTGGGAGAGTGAGAGACTGAGCCACAAGAAACCTAAGACAGCTGGACTGGCCAGGGGGCATAGCTCAGTGGTATAGTGCTTGCCTAGGGGTTGCCTGTGAGATCCTGGATTCAGTCCCCAGGACACTACCCCCACACACACATAAAAAAAGACTGATCTGACGGAATTTAGGAGACTCAAGAAGAGATGGGTTCTACCTAGAAATGAAGTCAAGTTATTTACTGAGAAAGGAAGCAGGTCTTCAGTGTCCTTCAGCCTATCCACCATGAGAAAAGTGGGCTGGAATTTCAGCCCCAAATTCCCCTAACAAAAACCTGCCCTGGGCTGGAGGTGTGGCATAGTGGTAGAATATGTGCTTAGCATACTGGAGGCCCTGGGTCAATCCCCAGTAACACAAATACACAAGCACAGAGCTGCCCAAAGACAACAGGTCTTTAGAGAGACCTTCCCCCTACCTAAATTGGAACAGAATTAAGGAATAGAGGTAGTAGGGTTGTTCAGGGATTCTACTCTTTGGGCCAACTGTCTGCATGGTTGAAGGAACTGGGCAATCCAGCTTCCCCAACAGCTGCCTGTGGCCGCTGCTTCTCAAGAATGGCTCCCTTCTTGGAATCACTGGGCGTAGTGCCCAGGGTAGGGTAGGCACCAGGAAGCTGAGAGTTATAGCCTCATAACCCACTCTTGTGGGCCCTGTTCTAGGAAACAGTAGGAGTTGAGGTGAGAGGGACCCCCTCACACCCCCTTCCATATCTGTTGCAATCCAGCCCTCCTTCCTCGGGAGAAAGGCATGGAACCTAGCTCAATCATGAACAATTTTCCTCATCCTTGCTGGGTGGACTAGGATAATATAGCTGAGAATTTCACAGGAAGGATATCAAGTGCCTCCATCTAAGCCCAAACCAGGAGGGAAAGGGCTCAGGCCAGCACCACTCCTCCCGTTCCCAGGGCCTACACTGTAGTGGGAAGAGCTCTGCGCTGTGGGTCCTAGGTTTTTGTACCAGCTCTGCTGTTGGGTTTGTAAAAGTTTCTGCTCACTCAGGGCCTCCGTGTTTCCCTGTACAGCTAGACCAGTTCCTTACACCTGTAACATGAATTGAAACTATTCTTCCCCATCTCAGCACCACACCCTCACTGACCAATGACCCCTCTCCAAACAGGTCTGGATCTTGCTCTGGGACCCTGGATGCACCTCAGAGGTCCAGTGGCTTTCTCCACCCTTCCCCTTCCCCTTCCTCTTCCCCCAAGGGCTGTAGGGAAGGCGCCGGTGGGGATGGGCCTCTTGCCCCGCTCACCCCCTAGGCTCACTGACAGCCCTAGTTACAAATCACTGTAGCACAAGGTCACACCTGTGAGAAAGAGGGTATCCTCCAGGGACAATCCTCTTCCCTAACCCGACTTGTAGAGGGGAAGAATGGTGGCTAATTGTGGTGAGGTCCTTGTCTCCCCAAATCCAATTCACCAGTTTTCTGCCCCAAGTCGCCCTCCTCCTAGGCATTTCCTTCTGCTTTAGGGCACAGTACACTCCCTATCAGTTCCATTGCCTTTCTGGGTTCGTCTCCTCCAATTTGCAGACCACCCAGGCACCTGTTCTCGCCCAGCTGGCCTCGCGCCTTCTGCGCTCTGTGCTCTCATTTTATCCAAACTCCCACCTGGGGATCATATGCCCCTCTTCCTCCAAAGCCTCCCAGCCTGACATCCATAAAGCTGCCTCCTTCCTGCGCCTCCCTTTCGCCCATTTCGGACCGTGAACGCCCTCTTTCAACAGACTCCCCACGCCCTAGCCCAGGCAGCCCCCGCGCGTCCCGTCTCGCAGTTCTCCAGCCTTGGCCAGGCGAGACGGATGCAGCAGGTACTGACCAGGCGAGGAGCCCTGCACTGGGTCAGGCACATGGCCGGCCCCTCCCCACCCGGCATCTGAGCCCCGCGGGTGCTCGCTCACCTAGTGACTTCATGTAGTCATCAAAATTCTTGCTGTCCACCAGCTTCCAGGTCCCCACGAAGGCTTCCACCATGATGAGGTTGTGCTAGGCTGAGAAAGAAGCTGCGAAACAGAAGGTGTGCAGGGACTCCAGGAACCGGCGCTGCGTCCCGAGCCGCCCGCTTTAAATAGCCCTAGCATCACGTGACGAGACGTGGCCCACGCCCCCGGCTCCCGAAATAGGAAGCCTCAGGCAAGCGGTCACCCTCAGGGGCTGGGCGCCCATCCCCCCAACGCGCTGGGGTCCGGGGTGGGGTGGGGCAGCAGTGGCGCGCCCCGCTCGCCTGGGTCAGCGCAGGTGTTCAGCCGCAGAGTCCCTGGCCCACGCTGGCCAAACCTCTCCCTTCCCTGATTTTGAGACGCTCTTCGGAATCTGAGAAGGAAGCAGCTGTGTTGGGCGCATGCCACCAGCATCTTCCATTCCCAGATATGACCAAGAGGGGAAATGAAACCTGTCCTTGAGCTGATGCCCGCGCCAGGGAAAGCGTTCGTTGACCCTAGTGGCACAGGCATCTTTGTCCTCAATTTATAGGAGCCTAAGCCCAGAAGGAAACTGACAAGGTCACGCTAAGTGGGAGGTGAACTGGAGCCCAGATAGGCACCTGGGCTACCTGGCTCCGGGCGGTGCTCCCCTCCGGCGGCCTGGTAGCGGGGACAGTCTCCAGGGCACTGTCTGTGGCTGAGCTGGAGCTGCCCGAGTCCCCACCTCTGGGTGTACGCGTGACGCACCCCTCGCCCCAGCCCCACACGTGCTTGCCCCCTCCCTGTGGAATGTCTCCTGCTGGTGCCTTTCCCCAGCCGCCCCTGCAAGTGCTGCAGGCTGTTCTGACCTCTGAGCCTGTACTCAGGTGGTTTCTCTCTCACCCCTCCTTTAGAAATTCTGTCAGTTCAGATCCTTTTCAAGGCCCGAGGCCGCCTCCCCTACCTGCCTGAAAGCTGCTTGCTTACAGCCCTTCCTCTGACCTCTGCACACAGCCAGCCTGCTTGCTCATATAACTTGTTGCCTCCTTTAAAGAGTCTACTGTGCTGTTGTTTTAGTTTACAAAGCACTTTTAATAATAAGACCCCAAACCCACATGGTGGTGCATGTCTGTAATCCTAGCACTCAGGAAGCGGAAGCAGGAGGGTTTCGAGATTGAGGTTAGCCTGGGCTACATGACAAGTCTTTGTCTCAAAACTACACACACATACACACTGTCAGGTAAAAGGGCCGAAGACCAAGACAGACCAGGCCACAACAAGCCTTTATTAGGGGAACAGATCTGCCAGGCTGTCTCTGAACAAAGGAGAGACAAAAGCAACATGGCTGGGGGAGGGAGAGTCTTTTATAGAGACTGGGGTGGGGCTTGTAAGGGCTGAGGTGGGGTTGAGTGAGGTGATCAGGGAGTGGAGGAGCCGGTGACATCACTAGGTGGTAGGAGATGAGCAAGTATTAGTTTACTCTCTAGGTGGGACCAGGGGCATGCTGGAAAGAAGGGTTTGTTCTTTGGTGGGAGCAACCATCTTGGCATGATGTCACACAGGGGAGGGGGCAAGGCACCATAGGAAGAGGGCAGCTACTATACATAATAGCTGCTAAGGTAGTGGGAGACCTATCACACACACACACACACACACACACACACACACAGAATCCATCTCAGATTGATATTTCTGGCATTCAGAGGGCTTTAAGTACATTGTCACATTGAACTTTAAAAATCTATGAAGCAGGTTGTTATTTGTCCCCTTTTAACAAGTGAACAAACAAGTTCACAGGAGCCCATTCATTAATTCATCAGTTATTAAGCACGTGTTTTGTCCAGGCCCTGCTGTGGAGAATGACAACAAGAAATAAGACACACACTCAAGGAGACTGCTTCAGGGGAGCAGTCATACAGGGAGTGTAGTGACTGTCCTGGGAGGCTGGGCTGACCCGAGGCTCAGGGGAAGACAAGTGTAAGTGAGTCCCTGGGAGACCCTGGGGACAAGGGAGTGCTGCGAACTCCCCTTTAGCCCAGGGAGGACATGTGAAACTTGGGACTGTAACCCTGGACCCAGGGCAGGGACCTATGGTGTGGTAAGCCCTGTCCCCTTCCCAGGGCTCTATTTCCCTGTGTGGAAGTCCTTTCCTCCCTTCCCCTGACTGTTCTGGGAAGGAGACCAGGAAGAGTCCTCCCCACCGGTCTTCATTCCTTTTGGGTAGTCCAGTTGTTGGAAGACTGAGAGGCCCATTTCTGCCAAAGCAACAGGGACAGGCCTCAGGGCTGGGCATGGAGCCCTGGTGACCTCACTGCCAGAGAAGATGACAGGGAGAGTGGGATGTTTCAGAATCAAGGTCACAGCCTTTACACACTCAATGTCTCAGTGGCCAGAGACCCAGGGACCAGACCTGTCTCCCTGCATGGTCCTCACAATGAGGTGATGGGCAGCTATGCTAGGCTGACAGCTGCTGAAAGAAAGAGCTTTGTTCTGACCCTGATTTCACCAGTGCTAGCTGCGTGGCCTTGGGCAATTCACTTCAGTCTCAGTTTCATCTTTGAAATGGAGATATTTGGGGATCAAATGAGACAATACATTTAAAATGCTGAGCATGCGGCTGCTGTTGGCATTATTTTTAGGCTTATCTCCATGGATGGTTCAGGACTCTAAGAGTCTAAACTCTGCCCCTCACTGACTTTGGGTCACTCAAGGAAGATTGCTTTTCTAATCCTCATTTCTCCACCTTGAGACGGGATTAGAAACTGTTACCACTGTGAAGAAGGCAGTAGAGATCTTTGGGATGGGTTGGAGTAGGAGGCAGTACTAAGAAGTCTTTTACTCCTCTTGACTCTAGACAAACCCCAACCAACTACCCTTGCTGTAGCTACCATGCTAACTCCTAAGCCTCACCTCTCCCTTCCGCCCAATTTTGAGGCAGGTGGCAGCACCACTGAACTAAATCCTCAGCCCCTGTATCACCCAATTTCATCCTCCTTAGTATGTGTAGTTTTCTCCTCATCCCTCTTTGTTGCCCTGGTATGCCAACTGCATTTGGGGTGAGGGGGATGTGAGCCTTGCCCCCTTTCCTGCTCTTTTTGCCCTCGGTAGATCCAGATATGGCTGTCTCATGTGGCAGGCAGCAGAAGTGGATCCTGCCAAGAGCTGTATCTCTTCAGTCCTTGCCCTGTGGTGATGTCACCGTTCTATTTCCATAGCAACCATGGGCTGGGAAGATGGGCAAGAGGAGAGATGAGTAACCAGGAATGAGCCAATGAGATGGGCTGGCAGCACCGGATGATCCGTGGGGCCATGGGGAGGGGGGAAGCAGCGGGGCCTGCTCAGCATCTTCAGTAGTTTCCTGGACCCTCCCTGCCATCTGGATACCTCCACTAGGGAATGTGCTATTAGCATGGGAAGGAGCTTGGAGTAGAAGCTGAAGAAGCTGAGCTGGAGGCCACTGACCTAGGGATATAGAGACCCTATATTTGCTCCTTCCGGACCTAAGCAGATGCTTAGAGGTGGTCGACCTCTCCCACACCCCCCCCATCCATACCTTGCAACTGGAAATTTTTCTTTGTTGGTAAAGGTGTCCAGGCTGTCTGTCTGTCACTGACTGCCCTGGAATTACCAGGCCTTAGCCCTTCTCTCTGCACTTTCCATACCCCTCCCTTGGTGCATTCAGAAGCACTGGGTTCAGTGGGGACTCAGGGGAAACCAGAGAGCTCCAGCCTTGCCCCACTCAGCTCAGGGCATGGGGAGATTGCAGTTACAGGTGGTGGGGGCAGTGTTCCTTCTACCAGTAGGAAACCTGCTTCCTTGTCTCTGGGGGTTATCCATACTCTGGGTCTGAGAGGACAAATGAGGGCAGCAGGTACAGGTTTGCTTAACACAGTTTACTTCTGAGCAACTGCTGCCTATGGTAAATGGCAAACTTCCTAGGAAGAACAATGGCCCTTCCTGCCCTGGGGAGTGGGGCAACTCAGGGTAGATGGGCACTCTGCCTGCCCAGGAGCCAGGTGTATGTATACTCCATTGTGGACAGAATAAAACCCAAACTTTTAGGGAGAGGGTGTTGAGGATTAAACCCAGGGCCTCCCGTGTGCTAGGCAAGTGTTCTACCACTGAGCTATACTTCTAGCCCTTTAAATTTTCTATTTTGAGACAGAATCTTGCTTGCTAGGTTGCCCAGGCTGGCCTCAGTGGAATACTCCTGCCTCAGCCTCCCAAACAGCTGAGATTACAGGCATGTGCCATTGTTCCCGGCTTAAAAAACCCAAATTCTTTAGCCTTGTCTTATCTGTTTTGCTCATTTAATTTATTACTAAAATGCTGTTCCAAGAAGAGCCCCTGGCAGAGGATAGGTTGCAGTATACTAAATGAGTGAGTGAATCTAGGTATCTCAGTAGCTCTGGGGGTTCTGGAAAGAGACTCACCTGGGTTTCAGTCTCTTCTCCATTACTTATATATCAGCTGGGTAACCTCGGACAGTCCCGAACTCCTTGGGTCTCAGTTCACTCATCTGTAAAAAACCATAATCCCCACCTTGCTGGCCTCCCATGAACTCTGAGAAGACAAGATAGGGTGCACTGGGGAATGCAGTGCTAAGGTTGTTTCTCCCCCTGGTTGTGAGCCCTCAGCATGAGCCCCGCTTCCCTGGCTGGGTCGCATGGTCTAGCCCCTGCCTACCTCTCCAGGCTCTCCACCTGCCACCACTCCGACCTCCCTGTAGGTCAGAGACCTTAGGCCTCCACCCACCACTACCCTCTCTGAACCTTGGGCATTCGTATCCTTTGCCTCTGGGTAACCCTATCCGCCCTGTCATGCACTTATCCTGGCCTGATGCAGCCCATCCATTTCCCAATCTGTCATTCCTGTTACACCAGAGGCCCTTCTGGGCTGCCTGGTCTGTGTGTCTCTCTGTCCTGCACAGGACCTGGCAAATATTTGTGTAATGGACAAACAGTCTCTCCAAGGCAAAGAAAGCCACTGTCCTCTTCCGTGTGCTCTCTGTTTGAAAATTCTGCCCCTTACCCCCCACTACTCTGTGCTTTCCCCTGCCAAAGGATCCGATCTCCTACCCCATTCCCACTCCATCCAGGACACTGGGCCATTTCCGGTGTGTAGTCGGCACCCAAGTTTCCTCAGGTAGGAACTGCCCTTCTGGATGCTCAAGGCAGCCTGGACCTCAA